TTCGTGATAAGGCGGGGGATCTCTACATCCAGTCGCTTTATGTCTTCCTTCGCACGATCCAGGGTGAAATGCTGATCCATCACCGCACGCCCAGCCGGCATGGCCCAGGGCTCTGCATGGATGTCGCGCCGGCTAAATCTGAGAAGGTCAAATTCTGACAGGAAGGCGTACTCGACCACCACCTCCCAAGATAGCTCTGGTCGGGGAGGATCGAGCGCGCCAGCAGCCTGATTGTATGCCTCCAACGCTGTGCGAACTGCTTTGGACTGCGCCTGAAGGGCTTTGGCGATGTGCTTCCTCAGCTTATACCCTACGTATTCAATAATAAGCAATCATATTGGGATGGGCTGGAAGCACTGGCAGACGCACCGGTATCGCTGAGGTTCATCTTCCAAAGCTCCGAGAGTCTTGAGACGACCAGCTTCTCCAAAGTGTCCAAAGCGCGCTGATAGCGGCGCTTGGAGACGAGTACCTGCGCCCAAAGCCACGACTCATCGCCTGGGACCCAACGAGTCACTATCCCCATCCGCGACTCCAGATACATCACAGCCTCCAGGCTCTTTTCCGCTAGCTCGAATGCGTGACAACGCCGTGCCTCCTGTTGGCGTGTGGCCTTGGCCGCGTCGGTGATGCTATCGCCTGGCTGTACCTGCACGAAGGCATCCCTCCGCAATTCCGCTGCCTTTGCCCTGAGGAGTGGTAAGGACAGGGAAAAATGAAAGATGGGAGCATGAATACATACTCATTCGCATAGTAATTGACGAGTTTTTGGTAATACTCCATCTGGAGTGTCTCCTCCTCTGGCTCCTTTTCCAAGGATTCCAGGTACTCGCGCTCGGCCCTCAGCCACCTGTCAAAAATGGACCTGTCAGAAATGCCAAGAATTCGCATAGATTCTTTTAACGACGCCTCTCCGTCGAGGATCTCAAGGGCTCGCTTGTACTTGGTAACAATATTCTGACCTACCAAACAACATTAGATAAACATAGATTGTGCAGAAAGAATGACTCACTGAGCATGTAGGAAGTCTCCGCTCGGTCTGAATGCCGCAGAAATGTCGTAATGGCCTGGAGACGGTGGAAAACGCTCGAATATCGCGTCCTCCCAGCAACCGCGTTCGACTTGGAGAAAAACGTCTCGCAAAGCTCGAAGCCCTCAAGGCCCACACCCGGCGTGTACTTGGGCAGATTTCGGGCTTGGCAGCGACGATTGTGGCCTGCACCATGGAAGGCGCCTATCGTCGACCGGAACTTGGCCTTCTGCGCGAGCGGGCCCAAACGTGGGTGCTTCTTCACCAGCTCGTCGAATTCGCAGCCAATGTCGTACCCCATTGTAGTCGCGATATCCTCGAGCACCTGCACTAGGTCCGCGACCACCGCATAGCCATACTTCATCCTGAGGTGAAGCGGAATTGTCAGCTCACATCCCAAGTGATAGAAACACCGACCAAGACTTACAGCTCCCCACTCTTAACCATGTCCACAATCTTGAGGATGAAGCCGTGGCGGCACAGTGCCACGAAGATGCTGGTCTCATCGTAAATCCCCCATGCCTTTGATGTCTCAGCCTCATTCATGTTGTGCCACCGCTCTGCACATTTTCCGCCGTCACCCGGAACCTCTTCGTCGCCCGTTGTGTGCGCTTTCGCGTGCTCTTCTCCATCTCCGATGGCCCAACTGTCGACCTCTGCGCGAGGAATGTAGTAATCACCGGCGGGGACTCGACGGTCAATCCTCTCCCTCGACTCCCAGCTGGTTACATTGCCCTCCTCGTCGTAACCCTCCGCTGCACGCCTCTGGATTCGTTTCAAAGAGTTGTTGCCGTCCATAGTCGCCAGGAACGGCCGCTCTAGCTCTGGCTCTCCTTCCAGCTTGTACATGCAGCAGGGGCATGCATTCCGAAGACGCCAGTTGGGAGTATCACGCCCCAATGCAGCCTGCACCTGCTGCTCCACGTCCTCCAGAACCGCAAGGTAAAAGTCAAAGGCGATCGAGAACTGTGCGCCAAGATATGGCCACAGCGGGACACCATGGATATCACAGAGTCCGCGTACCCAGGCTTGGATCCCCAACCGCTGGCAGCGAAGCTGCATTCTGTGGAAGACTTCGAGTGCCCGAGTTGTAATTGCGACTGAGGCGACGCCGGGCGTACACGGGAAGAGCCCTTGGCGCACAAGCCCCGAGGAGAAGAAAGGCTCGTGTGCGGTGAACGGCACATCCTCGGTTTTATATTTTGGGGGGCGTCCCATTTTTCCCTGGATGAAGGTAAGATGCAGCAACAGGATGGTGAACGGACACTAACGAGGATTTTGGAACTTGGTGTACGTCGGTGCACCAAAACAAGGTTGGAGGCTGTGAATGGGGCGGCCCAGGTGAGAAGATTGGTGTGCCACGGAAACTGAACGATGAAGAATTGATGTGGTTAGAGAAGGAAAACTGACCGACACCGAAACTCAGAGAGCCAAGCGCCCAATAAGCGCCAGTGATCCGTGGCCGAATAAGGCATAGAGAGCTAAGCGCCCATTAAGCGCCAGTAATCCGTAAGCACATCAGCATTTCACAGCAATCCCAATCCCTAGACGACACTTAAGGCACATTGCATCTTAATGAATAGTCTATATTCTATATCTGGTCTACTTTACTGAACATATTGAGACCCTGATCCCACCTTGTCCTCGCCCGATTTGCTCGCGCAGCTTGCTCCTCCTCCGACGCAAGCACGTCGAAGTCAGCGTTGGTCATGAACTGGTTGTCCACCCAACGAAAAAGGGAGCCTGCTGTGTACTGTACGAAGGAGCTACGGCGTTCAAATTTCCTAATTCGAGTGTTTGAGTGGCGGATCAGGGCGCTGGGGATGAAGATCGTCGACCCCGGTGGAAACCTGATGACCAGCCGCCAATCCCAAAGGATGAGATGGCCCCCGTAGTCAGGGTCGAAGTCGCCAAGGGCCGTGACGGCGCACCACCCCCACGCTAGGTTGGCGAAGTCCAAATGTAGTGCACACACCGCCGCGCCGAAATTCCATGTACAGGCAGCGAACGGGCTACCAGGAAAGTTCCAGTGGAGGGCGGGGTTCCACGACTTGAGAGCGGTCAGTGTCGAATGGTAGTAGCTGCAGAGTTCTGGGGCCCAGAGGTTGAACAGCGCTAGAAGGTAGGTTAGGTGGGCGGTCAGAAAGGTATTGGGCAGACGTACTGGCCGTAAACCCTGCAATCCGGATAAAGGCCGGGTGCGCGACCAGGCTCTCCATGATGAGAGAATTGGTCGCGTTCGCCCGTAGGTTTCCAGGCTGCTAAGGGACATGTATGTGAGTCAATACATGCATCCTTAGCCTCAGGAACTCACCTGCTGCCCGCCCCCGTGCGAGACGCCGCGCGAGAGAGGCGCAAAGCGGGTCTGTGCCCGTCTATGGCGCCGTTTCTTTGCTGATAGTCGGATGTCAGGCTGGCGTTTGCGCATAGCAGCCTCCGCGTCCTTTGCCACATCCGCCCAGCCACTGTCGCGCGCGCGGCCCCCGAGAAGCGCGACAACCCTCTGGTGGGCATCTAAAATAGGAATCGTCACACTGCAGGATGTGGTGAGCAAATGAAAGTGCAATAGTGGGTGGCACGTACAGCCCAAGCCACGCAACGTATGTGAAGCCCTCAACGCCCACAAGGGAGTCGACGAACTCCTGCGATGGGGCAGCTCCAAGTCCCGCCTCCCGGAGCTTCGGCTCCACAGGTACAGTCTTGATGCCTGCGTATTGGGCCGAGCGGAGCCCGGTCCACGACGAGGTGCAGTGCGCAGCGCCCGTGGTATCGTAGAAGACTTCAAGGGCAGCCGCTTTGCCCTCTTCACGTCGCTTGCGCGAAATCTGCTTGAGTAACCTGCCGGTGGAGTGGGGGGTGGCCGTGGCGGTGTGTAGACGCTTTGCGCTGCGCCGGGCTTTGAAGCGCGCTTTGTCGCTTTGGGTGCGGCGCGATGCAGCTGGGGGTGTGCGCAGTGGTGTGGTGGCAGCGACGGCGACAGGTGCAGGGAGTGACGTGGCAGCAGCGGCAGCGACAGGTGCAGGGGGTGCGGCATGTGAGACAGTGGCGGTGGGGCTGTAAGGACCGGGCTCGATCCAAGGCTCACTCTCGGGTTCCTCGACGTCTGATTCCAAGTCTTCAGATTCGCTGAAGTCGTCTTCCGACTCGATCAGGTCGTCGTAGGCAGTGCTGAGTGCCGGGTACAGGGAATCCTGATGGTCTTGAGTGTTGAAGTCTGGCAGCACATAGGCCGAGTACTCCTTGCCCGAGCGTAGGCGGCTCTGAAAGAGCATGTGACCTTGAGGGGGATATGAGCGGTGTTTTAAAGGGTAGGCTTGCAGAGGGAATATATGGAAGGTGTACAGTGTGGTTCCAGGGGCGGATCCAGCAACTGCAGAGAAGGAAAACACGATGAAAACGCGACGAAAACGCGTGCAGCACGGTTCCAGGGGCGGATCCAGCGCTGGAGAATGTATACCGACGGTGGGAAAGGGCAAGGAGAGGTATGGGGCTTAGAGCTTAGAGTTGCATACCTTGCCGCCACTGGTAGCCTGCTGCGACTGTGATGAGCTGGCACTGCGTGCGAGCTGGAAGTAACAAAAATTTGTGTCGATCACGTGTGACTTGACTTTCCATTTTCGATGTTCTCATGTTTGGTGATCACGTGTCACTTCTCTTGTGTCAAACTTATCGGAGTCCTCTGCCGGTTAACTTGGTATGGGCTTGCGACTCAGTACAAAGCTGTTACTCAAATCAAAGCCTCCGCTTTTGCCATTTCGATCGAAGCTTGCCAACTGAAGCTTGCCAACTGGGACAGTCTACATGTCGGTGTTGTAAGCTGAAGCTGAGCGGCTGGGCTGTATTTTGTGCTGACCCCACTTCAAGGCAGCATCTAAGGCAGTGTTTAAAGCGAAGAGCACTCGTCATGACTCTTGATCTGAAGCTTAAATTTCGAAGCCTGGAAGGCCTACGCTGTGCCTACAGTTCTAACGGCCACATGGTGTAATGGTTAACACGTCGTCGCCCTTGGGGGCTGTCGAAGTTGCGGGTTCGAGTCCTGCTGTGGTCTAAGGGGTGGCCAGGGGGGCGCCCGTGCATGGTACCTCTCGGCCAGAGATACCATGCGTGGGCGCCCCTCTGGGCTACCCCTCAATTTTTTGGGGCCCCTCATTTTTATCTTGGTTTGCACTCTGGTTTCTTTCTCTGTTTCTCTGGTAGCGCTGAATTGTGCTGCACGCCCGAGTTTCGAAGAAGACTCATCAATTGGTAATGGGCAGCTCCCCGAACAACACACATTGGTCATGAAACGAACTAGAGCCCGAGCGCAGGTCCACACGGTCACGCACAATAAACAAGCTCTCTCTTGACTACTCAAAAAAAAATCTAGTTTATGGACGCCTCCATCCCATTGAATTCGCCAGATATCCCCGCTTCCACAGCCTCCATTCAGCGTCCGACGTCTTCCTCAGCCTCTATTGGCGCTCCTACGGCTTCAGGCTCTGCATCCAACTCTGCAAGCTCGTCGACGGCAAAGTCTGCCAGAAGTTTGGCAGTGCGCGGGTCGGATGCTGCGCGCCGGAGCAAGGAGCTGGTCACGGCGCAGCGTCTGGTGGAGAGGCAGGCTTTTAATGCGGAGGTGACACAGTTTTTTGAAGATCGCGAGGCGAAGGTGCAGGAGCTGCACAGACGCTTCCCTGGCAAGTCGGAGAAGGTAATCCGAAAGCTGCTCTCCAATGAAAGCACGTTTAGCAGCAAGAGGGCACCCAACCTGTACAACGCATACCTGCATGAGGTATCAAGTCGTCACAAGGAAGACGGTATGGCCTCTCTCGTCGCACCTCCGAGCTTCAGATTTGACAATCATGCAGGTGAAAATTTGACAGTTACGGAGCTCCACGACGCATACGCTGAAGAGATTGAAGGCCTCGAGGACCTCCCCCAAGCTGAAAAGGAGCGTCTGCTTTCGCAGTTGGAGGATCACCGGAAGCATCAGACGAAGGCACCGCGAGTTACGACAAAGGCGTTGGCTGCAAGTGCGCGTGAAACCGTTGCAAATCTTCAGACAGAAGTGAGTTTTGAGCAGCTTCTCCAAAGACACAGCTACATGGTCTGCTAGATGACGAACCTATATCTCCGTACTGGGATGCGGACGTTCATGATCGGCGTGCGATCCTCGCCGGAAGATCCTATGGAGCCAGTGTATTTGGAGGGCGGCTCTTTCCGCGACTTTTTTATGGCGTCTTTGGGAAAGCCGTGGACTGATGTCCTGCGTCGGGCAGAGATATACTCGTGCTCGGTGGCCTCTGAAAGTAGGCCAATATTTTGTACGTGACTCCGGGCTCACATCATCGACTGTAGAGGCAAAAAACTCCGAGAGCATGGAGCAGGTTCGCAAGGACATATCCCAGATGGCTCTAGATGGGCTTCGTGCGTCACAATTTCCACTTATCAGAGTTTTTTTGATTCACCGTGGATTTCAGGGAATCTACTTGGCGACACCACCATTCGGAGTGTCCCGTGGGCGAACCACGAAATCGATCTCGGTGAGAGACAAATGGTCGAGCTAGTGGGGTGGCCAGTCAAGTCCACCGGGGGCAAGCTTGTCGCTCCCAACTCCCTCAATAGCGAGGTCGCGCGCTCAATTCGGGACAAGTGGGTCTCCGGGGACATATTTTGGCGGAAGATGACGAAGGCAGCACATACGGCCCTCGTAGAGAGGCTTGACGAGCGCCGTGAAGAGGCGGGGGGGGCAGCTGAAAAAGCGCGCTCGCCGCTCTGATCGAGGACAGAAGCGCGGGCCTCGGGCCAAGCGGGGAGTGGATGCGCAGGAAGAGAGCGGTGAAGAAGAGGGTCAGGATGGGGATGAGGACGGGGAAGATGGAGAGGTCGTGGCGAGTGCGGGAGGGAATGGTGTGCGAAAGGCCAGGGGGGCAGGGAGAAAGGCGGCAGGGTCAACTGCACAGCGCAAGCCCACGACAAAGAAGACGAAGGGCGCCACTGGTCGCAAGAACCCCGGTGCGCCTCCGGTGCCATCTGCTGCAGCGGTGTCACCAAGTGGTGAGGCTGCATCGTCATCAGCGCCCACTGCTGGAGATGGGACAGCGCTTGCGGGGCATGCGCCTGACGCTCAGTCTCTCCACTCGACGCCTGGCGCCGATTCTCTCTTCCCCGCGCCCCAAGTCATCCCTGGCGAGTCCCCCCCCTCGATGCCCAGTGTCATCCCTCTCTTCCCTGCGCCCCAGGTCGTGCCTGGCGAGTTCACCGAACTCCCGGAGGAGGTCCTCAACGACCTCACTGCGGCGCTCCATTCCTTTGGCCCGGACTTCGACCTCCCAGTGCCTCCCTTTACCCCCAGTTTAGGGCCGGAGGTGGGCGCCTGGGAATACGGCTCGGAATACGGCTCCCTGCCATTTGGGGGGCACAGGAACCCCCTCGAGCCTGTCGAGAACCTCCTCCCATCGTGGCAGGGGCCTCCAAGTGCAGGAAAACGCAAGGCGACAGAGGGTCTCGACGACAGGCTGTCGGCCAAGCACCCACGCTGGGATTCGGGGCCGAGCGCAGGAAGTGGCCCCGTCTCGGGCGTCTGGTTCCCCTAAAAATCTGTGTGTTTGGACTTGAGAACTTATGTATAGTACTTCGTATATTTTTTAGCTATTTTTTAGTTATTTTTTGGCTATTTTTTGTCTACTTGTCGCGAAACTTTGGACATTTTCTTGGGCCGGGCAGGAGATGGCGGTGCTCTGCGTACCCTGCTTTTTTCTGTAATTTTTTTGTCTAATTTTATGTATTTTTTGGCTTGTTTTTGGGCGACGTCGTCGACGACGACGACGGCGGCGGCTATAAGTGGCGGGCGGGCCTGCGGACCGAAGGCTGCGAGCCGGAGATCTGGCAAGTCACGTTCCGATTACGGCGGCATCCCGGTCACGTTAGTGATGGGGACCTGACAGCTGTCAGGTCGATCCGCTCCGATCACGGATCCATCACGGACCCATCAACGGCATCCGAATTGGGATGCACGGAGATGTCCGAGACATCTCCGAGGCGGACTTAGGCGGGACAGCGGCGGGAAGGGCGGGACATGACAGCGGTCATGTCAGTGATGGCGCCCCGGCACCCTCGGCAACGGCTCTGGCAGCAGGAGGGCCAGACAGCAGTATTTAACGCATACATACTGCATAATTAACGCGTACAACCGGAATTACGATCAACGGCCCTAATTAGAGGGGGCACGGCCACCCCGTGCCCCCTCTTATTAGGCCGGACATGTGGGCTGTACAGGTGAGTATGCGCACTTCTTGTGACGCACTTTGACTTGCGAAGACATCTTTTGACTCACTTTGATTTGTATGACTTGTATCTCCTGGAATCCACACTGACTTTAGCTTAGCCTCGGAATAGGTGGCTTCGGCGTTGTGTCTCTATAAGGCAGACGGCGTACACTGGCAACTGGGCATTACGGTCATTTGACTGCGGCAAGACTACGGAATCAACCAATGACTGGCTTACATTGGGCATACAATTGTCCAAAAGACAGGCCACAATTTTACGCGTTTCGCCCTGCTTTTTGTTGGAGCGGAGATTCAAATCGCGATGGAGATATAAAAAGGCCCCGTGACGACAACCCATGGGGAATCGAACAGACGGCTCGGTTCTCATGTTTGTGTTGATGGCCTTCCTAATTAGGCCCAACCGAATGCGGTTGGGCCTAATTAGGCCCAACCACATTCGGTTGGGCCGAATTGGGCAAACCTAAAGGAGTTAGATGTGATATGATCACCCAAGCAGATCTGTTACCCCACCAGCGTGTAGAATACACTTTGTAGCTCAGGAAAATTCTCCAAAATTTTGAAAATATTCATACCCACTCTAGGACATCCAATGCTGACAATAGGCTACAAATCTCAATCCACATATGTAAATTTGCTTCATAATTATGCTTTTACACACCTGAGAGCTTTACTGCTGCCAAACAGCTGAGGCTTCTACTGGAAATTCCTCCAAAACTCAAATCAACACAACTGCTGCTGTTGAAAAAAATTTCACATTACTTTTTCTGCATAACAATAGTACAGTAGATGTAAAATTACAATAAATATGGGCTTTGACTGCCTACAAGTGCCATTTGACCACGGTCCACATGGTGTCTTAGGATATTGGGGATCTCGGCCTACACAGTTGAGCTGATTGCAGTCTGCACAAGGATTGAGACATTTTGTGATTGAATTGGCACCTTTGCACCCAGGAGCTCTGCATTTTCGGCACTTCCTCCCAGACCGTGCTTTCTTCACTGGCGTATCTGAAACAAACCAGGATTCTGAAGCAGCCGGTGGTGGTAGCACCAACTCCGCTTTTTCCCTTTAGAAACATTTGTGGATAAGCTTGGATTGTATTGTTCTGGGTAGTGATACACTGGTAATAGTGGCTCGCCTGGGAGTTGTGACTCAGCAGGAAATTGGCCCACAGGAGAAATGTGTATTGAGTGTCCAGTGTGCTCAGGGAAGCTTATAGGTTGGTCATTCTGAACATCAAGCCCTGGGAATGGCAGTTCCTCATTGAAAGTATATAGATTATTCAAGTCCAGTGCTTGTGGTTGTAGTGGTAGTTACCATGAGTCTGGGGCAGAGTCCACAATGGTGACTGATCATGCATTTGTGGTGGGAAGATCCATGCAGACCGGAGTGGTAACAAAGGTGCAGGCTGCTGTTTGGCAGCCAATTGGCCAGAGAGCTGTACAGGTGCCAGTTGAAGCTGTCTCACTGGAGCAATATGTGCACCAGCAGCATGACTGGTATCCTGGTGCTGCTTCTGCAATGCAAGGATATCTGGCAGTCTTATCGAGATTGAATCATGAGCTTTCGGCATCATGCTCTCACAGCTGTCGTGCAATATTTCTTTGCAATTTTCCAGTGGTATGTACACTCTGGGGGGAAATTCTGAATAATTCACAGTAAATCCCCCCTTTCCTTTCCTTTCCTTCTCCTTTTTTTGGCGCTTTTTTTCGCTTTTTTTTTCGCCCAAACGCAAACAGATCTCTTATTGAGATTGAAATCATGAGCTTTCGGCATCATG